GTTCTTCCTCCTCCTCCTCCTCTTCCTCCTCCTCCTCCTCCTCTTCCCTCCTCCTAGCACTGATAATGTTCCCTAGTTGGGTCATGAAATTTCTGCAAGCAAACAGCCAAGCTCAGAGAGCACCAAGGACCCCACAGTTCAACCCTGAGCTACAAATATTCTCTTCTCAATTGTGCTTTGGCCAACTGTCCATAATTTTTTTTTTTTAAAAAAAATCACGGCTAGGATTGACATGATCAACTGCAGCCTACATATCGAGAAAAATGTCCGTTATCTCCTGGCGACCGGATTCTTCGCCCTAATTTCGATGCTGATTTTTGAGCAGGCTGCAATTCCCGTTCCCCTAAGGGTGAATTCTGAGCCTCCAATGTACTTCCTTTTGGAATCTCTAGTTTTAAGACCAAGCTCGCCGCCGCCCTAGCCCGATGCCGAATCAAGCACGATGCTCTAACCATTGAGCATATCCTGCCAGAAACAATTCGGAGACAAGAGCAGAGGGCTTCAAACCTGCCACTGTACGCCTGGGTGAACACCTTGAAAGTCAGGTGAGGTCTATTGACTTTTTGTTTTTTTCTTTTGCCCACCATTTTCCTGTGCGATTTTTTTTCAATGTTTGGTGACCGTGACTCTTAGATTTAAATGCGCTGGTGATCAAATTAACCGCATCCTTCCGGAGAACGCTCCTAAGTTTAGCACAGGGGCCCTCCACACTTTGCAACTTTAAGACTTGTGGACGTAGCCTAGCTGGCTGGGGAATTCTGAGAGCAGAAGTCCACAAGTCTTCAAAGTTGCTGTCATGGTTCCGACAGATGGAACTCTTCAAAATAACTTCGAGGCATTGTTTACCTTAAAAAATCTTTTATTCAAGTAGCATAGCTTCGGCACGTACATAGTTGAAGCCAAAATCTGAATTCCCCTCCCCTGAGCACAAGCCTGAGCGAGAGATGGCTGGAGCTGCAGGGCTGTCAGGGCTCAGCGGAAGCGCCAGGATCAGCGCAGGCTCCAGCTGAAGCTCGGCGCTGATCCTGGTGCTTCTGCTGAGCCCTGAAGAAGCACCAATCAGCTGGAAAGCAGCACTGATCCTGGAGCTTCTGCTGAGCCCAGAAGAAGCGCCGATCGGCTGGAATGTTGCAGCATCTCCAGGGTCTTGTGATTTACATTCAGATGCTTGGCAACTGATTCATATTTATGACGGTCACAGTGTCCCAGGGTCATGTGAAGTGACCAAAACCTGGTGCAACCACCCAGCAGACGGGGGGAATAAAAACCAAACACCCCCCCACCCCCCCACCCCACTGCCAATCCTCAACAGAAATGCTCACAACAATGAAAACCTCGGACAGGAGGAAGAGCACCGCCGGGTGGGCAGGCAGGTGTCTTGCTCGGCTGTGGCTTGGGGGGCACTTTTTTCAGTGCCATTGTAACTTCGAACAGTCACTAAGCGAACTGTTGTAAGTCGAGGACTACCTGTACTTTATCACTTTTTTCCTTTTTTGGAGGGGTTTCAGGTTTTTGACCCCTTGCTAGGCGACTGGTGGTACTCGGATGTTGCCATGTCCTAAAAGTGGTACAATGAGTGAAAAGGTTGAAAAGCCCTGCTCTATACGTTCAAACCTAAAGGCGATTTTTTAAGAAAAATCTGTTTCGCTTCCGTAATGTGCCGTGTTAATAAGCTGTGGTTTATCCTACAGTCTTGAAGAAGTCCATAGCTTCTTACAGAAGGAAGGCTTCACGAAAGTAGACTCCATTTCGGATTTTGATGGTTACACCTATTGCCCGGATAAGCACTGTGACGATGGGCTCGTTTTCCCGTCTTCTCTTAAAGAAAAACTCCTGATCTCGGAACTGTACACCGATCACAAACTCCTGTTGCAAGTAAGTGAAAGAGTTTGCACTTTACTTGAAGGAGTGTTTGAATCCTTCCAGGGTGACGGTCGGCAAAAATCGGTAGAGCAGGGATGTCCACCCTTGGCGGCTTTGAGACCTTGCTGGCTTTGCAGGGGGGGGGATTTTGGGGAGCTGAAGTCCACAAGTCTTCAAGTTGCCACGATTGAACACCCCCAATGTAGACAAGCAACTAGCTTGGCTTGTATTTTGTGCAGCTCCTTCACTTGCAAATGGATACGGGTAATGCAAAAACTGGCGACAGGTCTTCTACATCAGAGGTCACCAGTCTTTTCAGGCTGGCGGCCCGGAGGGAAAGGGAGCAGCTGGGAAATTTGTGCATGCGCGCACATGCATGAACGGGGCCGTGCGTGAAAGGGACCGCGTGCACCCACACGTTGCTAGCACAGTGCTTACGGCCCCATTTGTGCATGCATGCATACGCTAGCCGCCACTGCGGCTAGCACCCGCGTGCATGCGCAAAGGGGCCGCACAGCCTGCATGGCGCTAGTGGCTCCGTTTGTGCATGTGTGCAGGCACTAGCCACCACTGCCGCTAGCCCCACGTGCATGCGCAAACGTGCATGCTAGTGTGAGTGAGGGTGGTTGTGCACACTGGCCAGCCTGTCCCGTGGCCCGGTGGCCAGTAGGCCACGGCCCGGTAGTGGGCTGTGGCCCACAGGTTGGGGATCCCTGATCTACATTGCAAAAACAGATGGAATGGGTGCCTCACAGTAAGAGCCAGGGTGGCGCAGTGGATACAATGCAGTATTGCAGGCTAACTCTGCCCACTGCTAGCAGTTCGATCCTGACCAGCTCTAAGGTTGACTCAGCCTTTCCATCCTTCCAAGGCCGGTAAAATGAGGACCCAGATTGTTGGGGAGCAAGAGACTGACTCTGTAAACCTCTTATAGAGGGCTGTAAAGCACTGTGGAGCGGTATATAAGTCTAAGCGCTGTTGCTCTCAGCCAAAGCATTGTTTTGACTCGGCCAGGTCACCCCACCTACAATGCCTGCCCCATTGCAAGGCCTGCGGTTGACGAGCTGAGTAATTCCCACACTGGTGTTTCTGTTTCTACCCTTAGGATAACTCCCGGAGTCTGGCGGTACATTCGGTGAAAGCCCTGCTGAATATGGACGATGACGTTTTAATTGCCCAAATGGGGTCCTGGCTCACTGTGGCCCACATGTCGGTGCTGACCAATCAGGACACTTCCCGGGTATTCGTATGCGGAGTAAAATCTGCGGCTAGAGAAGCTGAATTGAAGGATCTCTTTGCACGTATGGAGTGTAAAAGTAAGTTCAAGATCAGTGGCATCCTCTTAAGGATGGAGGAGGAGGAGACAAGGATGAGGAAGAAGAGGGAGAAGATAGATTAGGAGGAGAGAGGAGAAGGAGAAGATAAAGATGAAGAAAGAGGGAAGAGAAGGAGAAGGAGAAAATAATAAGGATGAAGGAGGTGAAGATGATAGAGAAGGATGGAGAAGGAAGAGGAGAAGGAGAAAATAGATAAGGATGAAGGAGGTGAAAATGATAGAGAAGGATGGAGAAGGAGAAAATAGATAAGGATGAAGGAGGTGAAGATGATAGAGAAGGATGGAGAAGGAAGAGGAGAAGGAGAAAATAGATAAGGATGAAGGAGGAGGAGGAGACAAGGAGGAGGAAGAAGAGGGAAAAGAGGGAGAAGATAGATAAGGAGAATAGAGGAGAAGAAGATAAAGATGAAGAAAAGGAAGTGAAGGTGAAGGAAAAGAAGACAATAGGTAAGGATGAAGGAGGTGGAGAAGGATGGAGAAGGAGAAAATAGATAAGGATGAAGGAGGAGGAGGAGGAGACAAGGATGAGGAAGAAGAGGGAGAAAATAGATAAGGAGAAGAGAGGAGAAGGAGAAGATAAAGATGAAGAAAGGGAAGAGGCGAAGGAAAAGAAGACAATAGGTAAGGATGAAGGAGGTGGAGAAGATGGAGAAGGATGGAGAAGGCAGAGGAGGAAATAGATAAGGATGGAGGAGGAGGAGACAAGGATGAGGAAGTAGAAGGAGACGATAAAGATGAGGGAAGAGAAGGAGAAGATAAAGATGAGGGAAGAGAAGGAGAAGGAGACAATAGGTGAGGAGGGAGGAGGAGCAGGAGGAGAAAACAAGGACGAAAGAGGAGGAGATAAGGATGAGGAAGAAGAGGGAGAAGATAGATTAGGATGAGAGAGGGGAAGGAGAAGATAAAGATGAAGAAAGAGAGGGAAGAGGAGAAGGAAAAGGAGAAGGAGACAACAGGTAAGGAGGAGGGAGAAGGAGGGCAAAGGGGATTTAGAGAGTAGCCAGAAATTTATCTTAGCATGGAAGGCCTTACAGGTGGTCCTCAAACATACGACCCCAATTGAGCCCAACATTTCTGTCGCTAAGCAAGACGGCCATGACGTGTGTTTCACCCCTCCACACACACACACTTTACGACCTTTCTTGCCACCGCAGTGGCTAACTTAGGATCACGGTTGTTAAGTGAATCTGGCTTTTGCCCCCATTGACTTTGCCTATCGGAAGGTCACAAAAGGGGGGAGGATCGCGTGATCCCCCCGGGAGCCCTGCCGCTATCATAAATACAAAACCAGCACCTGAACTTGGATCACGTGACCGTAGGGATGCCGAAGGCCAAAGTGGTTGTGTAAATATATATTATTATCTATATATCTTCCATATAAATAAAAATGTAAATGTTCGTTTGTTCAAAATCTTAAATCTCCGAAAGTTCTTTACCGATTGCTTTGAAATTTTGACACAACATTGCATTCGAATACACGCGTGTTTTTATATACCTACTATTATAGAGATGTCACACCTGTGACAGGTAAAAACATGCTTTTTTTGAAAAACAGCGCCATCTGTTGGACGTAAAAGCAACACACGCTACGATTTTACCATTCCATTTCAACGTTTCCGATTTACGATCCATTTACGATTTCCAAATTGCCATTTCAGTTTAAGAGATTGCAATTCCCAATTCGATTGGTGTTTGCAATCACCATCAACAAAGCTCAGGGCCAATCTTTAGAATTGTGCGGTTTAGATCTAGACACAGATTGCTTCTCACACGGACAATTGTATGTTGCGTGTTCTAGAGTCGGCAAACCAGACAATCTCTATATCTGCACAGACAATGGAACAACAAAAAAGATTGTATACCCAGAAGCATTGTGAAATGAAACATATTAGAAACGTGCGCTTTCTCTTTTCTTTCTTTTCCATTTAACCAGACTGAGCCACAGCAACACGTGGCCGGGTACTTACTTACATACATACATACATACATACATACATATGTATATATATATAGCCACGAGTGGCTTTTTCCGGTGCCGTCGTAACTCTGAACGGCCGCTAAGCAGACGGTGCTAAGCCGAGGACTACCGGCGCTTCCAGGAAGCGCTCCTTAAACACACACACCCCGCGAAAGTTTGAAGTGACGATTCACTTCCGGGGTGATGCAGCGACCCGAACGAAGGGAGGAGGTCCGAGATGCGTCGTCTTCTGCTACAGCACCCCTTCCGTCCCATCTCACGGGCGTCCTCCTCTTCCTTCTGTTTTTCCTCCTCCCCCTCCCCCTCCCCAAGATGTCGAGCTGCTCCACGAGGACTTTGCCAACGTTGAGCCCGCTTGCGCCAAGCTGCAGAAAGTGAAAGTGGTCCTGCTCCTGCCTCGCTGTTCCGGCCTGGGGGTCAGCAATCCCATCGAATTTATTTTGGAGGAGCACGAAGGTAACTTCCCGGAGGGATTTTGACTGCCTCATTCTCTTTTCTGTTGCATTTCCGGCCAACTGTCTAGATCCTCTTTGCCCACCTTCTCCTCCTCCTTTCCCCTTCTCCGTATCTATTGTCTCCTCCTCCTCCTCTTCTTCTTTATCTTTATTTTCTCCTTCTGCTCCTCTCTCTCCTCCTTATCTATCTTCTCCTTTCTTCATCTCCTCCTCCTCCTCCTCCCTTATTTTATCTTCTCCTTCTCCTTCCTCATCCTTATCTCTCCTCCTCCTCCCTCCTCATCTGTTTTCTTCTCCAGCAAACCAGTGGTTGGATTTTGGCCAAGTTAACCAAACTCAAGGCATGGTCTCACACTCAACTGGAGGTGTTCCATAATAATTAGGGGACAGCAGAACCAAAACACGTGAAGTCTGGAATGTATAAACCATCTTCAAGCACCATGCCTGACTTTGGGAAGCACCACATAAGACTATGTTTGGTAGGCTTTGCTAGAATAGAATAGAATAGAATAGCATAGAAAATATGGAATGGAATGGAATAGAATAGAATAGAATAGAATAGATATTGGAATATAGAATAGAATAGAATAGAATAGAATAGAATAGAATAGAATAGAATAGAATAGAATAGAATAGAATAGAATAGTAGAATAGAATAGAATAAAATAGAATAAAATAGTAGAATAGAATAATAGAATAGAATAGAATAGATATTGGAATATAGAATAGAATAGATATTGGAATATAGAATAGAATAGAATAGAATAGAATAGAATAGAATAGAATAGAATAGAATAGAATAGAATAGATATTGGAATATAGAATAGATATTGGAATATAGAATAGAATAGAATAGATATTGGAATATAGAATAGAATAGATATTGGAATATAGAATAGAATAGATATTGGAATATAGAATAGATATTGGAATATAGAATAGATATTGGAATATAGAATAGAATAGATATTGGAATATAGAATAGAATAGAATAGAAATTAGAATAGAATAGAATAGAAATTAGAATAGAAGAGAATAGAAGAGAATAGAATTGTGAATGTCCAGCCTCTTCTTAAAAATCTCCAGTGATGGAGCGCCCACAATTTCTGGAGGCCAGCTGCTCCTGTTAATTTTCAAACGAGAAGGCAGATTGTTAATTGTCGTTTTCTGACCACTAACGTCCCCTTGCAGCGTAGACATTTTATTTCATTTCCTCTTTAGATGCAGAGTTACTCAGAGACCTCTCTCAAGGGTCGGTCGCCGAAGACAAACTAAGCACCCTTGCTCAACAGCAGCTGAAAGAGCTGACCCACGCGATGCAGTGTGAGTTTTTTTTGTCATGAACTCAGTCCCATAACATGTACAATTGTATATCTATAACAGCACACCCTTCCCAGTTTCGGTGACCCAGCTCCTTCTCGGTCTCTTATCAAAAGCAAGATTTGTTTCTTCTCTGCTCGAAGCCTTCGGTATGGGATCTTAGCAGACTGTGGGTGTGAGGGACACACATCTGAATTGCCAGCTGTAAATCCATGTTTCCCAACCTTGGCAACTTTAAGAAACGTAAGAGTTCAACTCAACCCAAAATATAATAAAACACACATTTCCCAAATACGGAAAGCAAAATACATCGTCGTCGCAGCGTTTCATGACCCAACTAGGTAACACCATCAGGTTGCACTGATGACGCTACTTAGTTGGGTAATAAAACATCTGCAAGGAAACAACCAAGCTCGGAGAGTACCGGGAACCCCATGGTCCCCCTCCTCCTCCTCTCCACAATCCTTCCTTCTAGCACTGATGACGTTGCCTAGTTGAGTAATAAAACGTCTGCAAGGAAACAACCAAGCTCAGAGAGTACCAGGAAACCCATGGTCCCCCTCCTCCTCCTCTTCCTCTCCACAATCCTTCCTTCCAGCACTGATGATGTTGTCTAGTTGGGTAATAAAACGTCTTCAAGGGAACCGCCAAGCTCGGAGAGCGCCAAGGTCCCCAGCGGACAAGGATTTTCCGAGTTTGTATCATTTGCGCCAGTTTTTAGAAGTTTCTCCAAAAGCTTGGTTTTTGAATGACGATTTCCTGGACTAATCCTGATTTGAATCCCGGCAGTTGCTAAAGTACAAGCTCTGGTCTACTGCACCTGCTCGGTGTACCCGGAGGAAAACGAAGCGGTGGTGAACAAAGCCTTGGCATCTGGAGCGGAAGGAGCGAAGGCCCAGCCGTACAAGTAAGGAACTCACTTCAGCTACTTTTCTCCCCCCAAAAAAAGTATGTCCGCCGGTGCTGTTTGAAGGGTTGCATGTTCAGAATCAAAATCGAGTCGGAAGGGACCCTGGAGGTCATCTAGTCCAACCCCCTGCTCAGGCAGGAGACCCGATACAATTTGAGACAAGTGGCTGTCCAGTCTCCTCTTAAAAACCTCCAGTGATGAAGCACCCACAACTTCTAGAGACTAGTCCAGGGATAGGCAACCTTGGCTCTTTTATGACTCGTGGACTTCAACTCCCAGAATTCCTCAGCCAGCCATGCTGAGGGGAAAGGGAGAGGTTTCCAAGCTGAGCCAAGCTGGCTCAGGAATTCTGGGAGTTGAAGTCCACCAGTCATAAAAGAGCCAAGGTTGCCTACCCCTGGACAAGGTCTTTTGGTTTTCAGCTTGCTTAGTGGCCAAACAACGTAGTCCCAGTTGCTTCTTAGTGCAGCTTTTGAACGTGACAGAAGAGACTGTGAATTTGAGCCGTGCTTATTTGACGTAACGCCTTCAATCTCCTGCGTTTGTATCTGCTTCAGGCTTTGCCCGCCAGTTCTTCCTTTGTGTTCTAAATTGGAAGTCAACACCTCTGAACAGAACTTCTTTCATCTGGAGCCCTCCGATATTTCAAACAGCTGCTTTATTGCCGTCTTAAGCCGAGAGGTAAAGCGAAATGAGTTTCATTACGGCTCACGAGAAAGGGGAATGCTTACAGATATTAATATAGTCTCTCCAGTTGAACACTGATAAATATATAATAGTATTAGTTTCCTGCCCTTTGGGAAACAGACCCCAGAATTTTCCCCACCCCCAAAGTTCTAATTCTGTTTACAAATTATTAACCTATATTATTAACCTATATTAATGGCCAAATACTTAACAGGTAGAAGGGGTTTTTTAAAAAATGCACTTTTTCAACATTTCGCTTGTTTGGTTTGCTTATTTGCTTCTGTGATTTTTTTTTCTTTTCTTTTGGGGAGTTTTGTATTTTAACTGCTGAATAATGATTTGCAAAAAAGAGAGAGAGAGAAAATGAAAAGGGAACGAAGCATGATGTCTATATAGACATTTAGAATACAGAATTAACAAGCTTTTCATTCCAGAAAATGCAACCGGCTACAATTAGCCCTACAATACTTAGTAAAATGGGCACTACTGTTAGCCGTTTCTGGGTTCCAAATAGCAGTAATTTGCAGCCGAAATGGAAACAAGTGGAATTGTGAGGCTTTGAGTAAATTTACGTTTCTTTAGTTAAGGCTACAACAGTTAAAAAAAAAGAGCTCCTAATTAAAGGGGTGAAAGTGACAAACGAATCTAGACTCAAAGGAATCTTTTTGGGGGGATTTTGTTAACTGGGGCTTGTGGCCTTTCTGAGTACAGGTGAGGCCTTAATTTATGGCGTAGAATTTCCATTGCTACTCAGTGTCCTGTAGGGCTAATTACAGGTGGTTGCACTTTCTGGAATGAAAAGCTTGTAAATCCTGTACTCTAAATCAGAGGTCCCCAACCTTTTGGGCACCAGGGACCGGTTCCGTGGAGAGAGGTTTTTCCGCAGACCGGAGGGTATGTGGTTTTGTGTGCTGCCTGCATCTCGCGGATGGGGCTTTGCTTGTTTGTGCGGCCCGGTTGCTGGCATGCCGCCGCCCGGTACCGGTCCATGGACCGGGGGTTGGGGACCCCTGCTCTAAATGTCTAAACGTCTGTACAGACATCATGCTTCATCCAGGTCACGGTTGTCCCAAAGGTACAATCCGTATTACAATAGCAATTCCCTGGTAGGGTTCGGCTGTGCTAATTTGTGTTCTTTGCTTGGTTTAGCGAGATCCATCCGAATCCGTGTCGGTGAAAGACGTTTTGGCCCGCGCCGCAGCCAAAGGCCTGCTGGACGGGATCGATCTGGCAAAGCCGTCCAAGAGAGAAGAGAAGAAGAAGAAGAAGCACAGGGCCGCCCAGTCCAAGAATCCGATCAAAGAGGCCGTCATGCAGTCTCGGATTCAGGAGTTCCTGGAACGAGAGATGAAATCTGGAACGACGGAGACCGGCTCTGCCGTGCCAAGCGTGGCTGCCAGTAACTCGCAGGTGATGGGCCAAACCAACGAGCCCGTCGCCTTGAAGAAAGCCAATAACCCTCTTTCCAATTCATCTCTGCCCGCGATGGCGAAGAATAACCTCACCTCCGCCACCTCCACCCTGCAAAGAGTGTTGGAGAAACAGCGCAACGCCGCCAAGTCCAAGAACGACGATCGCGTCATGATTTTGAAGCCGGTCGAGATAGTTCTGCCCCCGGTGATGATGCCGTATTTCAACCCTCAAGGGAACAGGGCCCAGATTTCAACCAATCACTGTTACTATCGTTGGATTGGGGCAAAACACGGGACCCTGAGCCCTTCGGCCTCCAAAAGACTGATTAAGTCGAAAGAGCCTTCCCCGTCTACGATGACCAAGCAGTCCCGTCCGTGGCTTTGAAGTGGGCGCCATCTTGGTTTCTAACTATTTTTTTATTTTCCCCGGAATTTAAGACCGACGTTCATTTATTTAACGGTCAGCTCCTGAATATCGTTTGGGCCCTTAAACGATAAGCCCCAAAGTGCTTTTAGAAAGAAAATGTTAAACGCGGACCTCTTTTTGACGTTCTTTTCTATTACAAACGAGCTGTTTTTGCAAAGCTGGGTTTTTATTATTATTATTATGATGATGATGATGTCAGGCTTGCATTCAGTTTCGAATGTCAAAAAAAAAAAAAAGCACACCTGGATTATGCAGAACATTGGAGGAAACTTTATAAAAGTTGATGCGGGCTATCGCTTAGTTTTTTTAAGCCGCGCTTGGTCTGAATATATTTGAAGCAGCTGAGTTTTTAAGGCGAACCGTTACATGTAAATGAAAAGGGGGGGGAGGCTACATAAGTAGAAAAAAAGAGGCTACGTATTTATCCCTGATATATTTCAGATCGTTTTTTTCTTGGGAATTGGGAATGCATTCCCTTTTCCCGCCTTTAGAAGGCCCGGTCTGCCCTTCAGCGTGATCCTCGTAGACGTGTGCTGGCTTTGAAGCCCGCTCTTAAGAAAGAACAGCACTTTGAAAGTATAAATTTGCTTTGAAAGAGAAATTGTAACTACACGAAAGAAAGTTAAAACATTTGGGCAAGGGATTTTCCTTATTAACATGCTTTCATTTTGGCTTCCAACGTGACACCAGGCTTCATTAGCAACTCAGTATAAATCATCAAGTTTTTAATGCCGTACGGTTAACTGGAAACTGAGCATATTAAACAATTCCTGATTAATTATTTCCTTCGCTTTCTTCTTTTTTTAAAAAAAAGATTCCTCCAATGCGAAACAACAAATTACTTTGGCTGTTAATGTATACACATTTTGGAGCTGGTTTGTGCATTCTAGAAATGTTCGCCCTAGGCCAGGGGTAGGCAACCGTGGCTCTTTTATGACTGGTGGACTTCAACTCCCAGAATTCCTGAGCCAGCGTGGCTCAGCTTGGAAAATTCTCCCTTTCCCCTCAGCGTGGCTGGCTCAGGAATTCTGGGAGTTGAAGTCCACCAGTCATGAAGGGTCCATAGTTTCCCCATACTGGCTCAGGGATTCTGGGAGTTGAAACCCACAAGTCATGAAGGGTCCATAGTTCCCCCATGCTGGCTCAGGAATTCTGGGAGTTGAAGTCCACGAGTCATGAATGGTCCATAGTTCCCCCACGCTGGCTCAGGAATTCTGGGAGTTGAAATCCACGAGTCATGAAGGGTCCATAGTTCCCCCACGCTGGCTCAGGAATTCTGGGAGTTGAAGTCCACCAGTCATAAAAGAGCCAAGGCTGCCTACCCCTGCCCTAGCCATAGGTTAATGGCATCCTTTGTAGACTAACGGATGGGCATTTATTTAAATTATAAACCTATTTGTGGAAACTGCACAGCCAGCTGTCCTCAACGACTACAACGGAGCCCCAAAATTTATGTTGCTCAGCGAGACACTGGCCAAATGCGTTTTGCTCCATTGTACGACCTTTCAACGACCAGTTGAATTGTTGCAGCTGTGAAGTTAGCAACATGGTTGTTAATCTGGCTTCCCCATTGACTTTCATCACGAGGGTTGTAAAAATGGATCACATAACCCCCCGGGATGCTGCAGTGGTCCTAAGTGTGAAAAACGGTCATAAGTCACTTTAATCAGTGCCGTCGTAACTTTGAACCGTCACTAAACGAACTCTTGTAGCTGGCCGATCTTCCCTGATGTCCCTTCCCACATTTTCAGTTCATTCAGCTCTAGTTTGCATTGCATGATATTTTTAGGTGCTACACTTCACGGTGCTGGCTTCAGATTAGCCGACGGTCAGCTAATCAATTTAGCTCCTCACGTGCTTTTCTGCCAAACAGCTGGGCTGGGGAATTCTGGGAGTTGAAGTCCACAAGTCTTAAAAAGTTGCCAAAGCTGGACACAGTTGTTGTAGAAGAGAAAAAAAATTGTCTGTTCTTTCGTTGAGTGCACCAGTATCCATAATAAGGGTTAAAAAAAAGTCAAGATGGCGGTTAAAGTTCCACTTTATGTACAGCCTCAAATCTCAGGATTGAAGCCACCATCTTGATATTTTTTTTTTATTACCCTGGAAGATGTTCTTCTTGATAAACTTATGTTTGGAGCAAACATAGTTTAGATCTCCTTTGTCTACTCTTGCTGTTCATCCTCACCATCCTTAAAAAGTTCCAGCCTGACGAAAAGACCGATTTCAACCTCAGGAATGTGGAGACACGCGGTTCACGTAATTAAATTTATTCTTTCAATGGGTTACATTTAAAGGTGTCAAGAGGTGGACAATGTCAGGGGGAGGGGAAAAAAGAAAACTTTATTTCCAAATAAGAGCATTTTCGCCTAACACAAAGAGCTCTTGCTGACAAACTCTTGTGTATTTTGTTCCGTTCCCTTTGGTGGAAGAGGGTGGGGTGGAGAAAAAAAGCTGTACATATTTTTTTCTTTTAAACTCATGATGCCAGAGAGAGGCCCCCAAGGATCAAAATAACAAGTAGTCTAGGTCAGGGCTTTTCAACCTTTTCAGCCCATTGTACCACTTTTAGGATATGGCAATATCTGAGTACCACCAGTCGCCTAGCAAGGTGTCAAAAACCTGAAGACCAAAAAAAAAAGGGAAAAAGTGATAAAGTACAGGTAGTCCTCGACTTACAGCAGTTCGCTTAGTGACTGTTCGAAGTTACAATGGCACTGAAAAAAGTGCCCCCCAAGCCACAGCCGAGCAAGACACCTGCCTGCCCACCCGGCCGCGCTCTTCCTCCTGTCCGAGGTTTTCATTGTTGTGAGCATTTCTGTTGAGGATTGGCAGTGGGGGTGGGGTGGGGGGTGTTTGGTTTTTATTCCCCCCCCCTTGTCTGCTGGGTGGTTGCAGCAGGTTTTGGTCACTTCATATGACCCTGGGACACTGTGACCGTCACAAATATGAATCAGTTGCCAAGCATCTGAATGTAAATCACAAGACCCTGGAGAGGCTGCAACATTCCTGCTGATCGGCGCTTCTTCAGGGCTCAGCAGAAGCTCCAGGATCAGCGCCGAGCTCCAGCTGGAGCTTGGCACCGATTCTGGCGCTTCCACTGAGCCCTGACAGCCCCAAAGAAGCGCTGATCCTGGCGCTTCCGCTGAGCCCTGATAGCCCTGCAGTTCCAGCCATCTCTCGCTCAGGCTTGTGCGGTGCTGCCACCGGTTCAGCTCATTCCCCTCCCCCGCTACCACTTTTCTAGGATGGTCGCGTACCACCTGCCAGGTGCCAATGGGTTCCAAAAGCTCGACTTGAAAGGGGTCCCTTCCCCGCCAGCCCAGCGTAACACCGACATCTTGAATTCCAAGTTTTTAAAACTCCTGTCTATGGAGATTCTCCATCATCCAGATCCCTCACGGTTCTCCCGAAGGTGCTTTTCCAAAAGGCAACTGGATTTTTTGGGGGGTTTTTTTCCTTGAAAACATTTCACTTCTCATCTGAACTGAAGGAGCTCTTGGATGAGAAGTGAAACGATTTCAGGGGGGAAAACAAACAAACAAACAAACTTTTGGAAAAAAGCACCTTTTTGTTTATCAACAGCCCCAAAACCAAAAGTAAGGATTTTGTGTTCTCCATTGCCTGTCAAACCCCGAGGAGTGTTCCAGAAAAACCAGCTCAGGAAATACACAGAATTCCTGGGTAGGGACCTCCATAGGGTGGATTTTCTGGATGGCAAAAAATAAAATAAAAAATCAAGATGGGGGTCAGAACCGTACAACACGGCCCCGCCCTCTTATCGAGAAAAGGGGCGGGGCTTTGATCAAGGCCACCCTTCTGGTTTTGGGTCAAGACCGACTCTTGTGTTGAAGTTTCAAGTATCCGCATTTGGGTTATCCCTTAACGAGAATTTATTCCAAATAACATTTGAAAAGAATAAACATTGATCATTAGCGTGCAGTTTCTGGAAAAAAGGAGGTGGGTGCAAAAAAAAAGTGGGGCTCTTTAACAGAGTTGCAACTGGGGGGCGGGCGCGTTAAGGTCAGATGTACATTTCAGCGCAATTTAAGGAAACAAGAACTTGATCGGTCATTCCCGTCTTCTTTGAACAACCGGTCGGTTTTTTTTTATATACCCATAGAGGTTAGTTTATTTCCTTCACCCAGAAGTTACGTCTTCTTTGCATAGGTGGTTATGTCAGAACATCAGACAATAAAAAGTTGCCTTGACCTGAAAATTACATATACACATATATCTAGACAGCTATACAGCTTAAAAACGGAGGAAGACTGTTTCTGGATTTAGATGTGGAGCCCTGTTACACACATGCACAAGAAGCCAACACTGGGATTTGTGGACCGGCTCCTTCGGGAAGCCGTGGGTTGAAGGTTATGTGATTGTGACACCATCCTTTTTAATGTTCTGGGTGTGAACCGCAGGCAATTTTCTGCTGCCTCTAGAGCAGGGCTCTCCAAACTTGGCCCTTTGATGACTTGTGGACTTCAACTCCCAGAATTCCTCAGCCAGGCACGCTGGCTGAGGAATTCTGGGAGTTGAAGTCCACAAGTCATCAAAGGGCCAGGTTCGAAGACCCCTGTTCTAGATCACCCTTTTCTTGTCTAGGTCCTTTTCTAGATGGCTTCTGGTTCTCCAGCATCTCCAACTAGGTTGGGCGGCGACCATGATGGTTCGAGAGATGCTGTAATCCAGGGGTCTTCAAACGCGGCCCTTTGATGACTTGTGGACTTCAACTCCCAGAATTCCTCAGCCAGCATGCCTGGCTGAGGAATTCTGGGAGTTGAAGTCCACAAGTCATCAAAGGGCCACGTTTGAAGACCCCTGCTCTAGAGCATAGCAAAAGCTTAGCTCAACGTTGAACGTTCTTTGGAGCAAGAAGGAAACGGAGTGGGCTTTTCTGAGAGAACTGAAGAAAGGAAAGTTTTGATAGGTCCACCTTGGCTTTCTACTCTACGCTCTTCCCAGTTGCTTCTTTTCATTCGTGTGGATCAGGGCCAGTTTACAGCAAGCCGTTATATACTTGTGTAGGAAAAGAGCACACTTACTAAGTGGTGTTTAGGCTGACAAGCTATAATTGTGTCAAGTGTTAAGCAGAAGAGACGAGCGTTCATGAGGCATGGTTAATTGTCCAAGAACCTCTACCTCTCTCAATGGTTTGATCTTGCTGGAGCAACTACTGTCCAAACCAGGGGTCTTCAAACTTGGCCCTTTGATGACTTGTGGACTTCAACTCCCAGAATTCCTCAGCCAGCTTGCCTGGCTGAGGAATTCTGGGAGTTGAAGTCCACAAGTCATCAAAGGGCCAAGTTTGAAGACCCCTGGTCCAAACCATTCAAAGGACAGTTAAGAGAAGGTTGATTAAGGCCAGGTTCCCCCACCCCCAACTTGGCAACTTCGAAGACCTGTGAACTTCATCTCCCAGAATTCCTCAGCCAGCTAGGCTGGTTGGGGAAATTCTGGGAGGTGAAGTCCACCCGATCTGAAGTTGCCAAGTTTGAGAGACCTCGTTCTGGGCTGATTGAGATAGGACTCCATCTTTTCGATGGGACAGGATAATGGAGTGAGGTTTTGGTTTGTAAAGTGTGCGCCGTTTGAACGCTTGGCCAAGTCGGAATCGTGGCTCCATTTGTCCCTGTCTAAGACGCGGAGACCAAGAGCATCGGTGAACAGGTCGTCGGAAATCTCAGGAGGTCTCCCTAGTCTTCCTCTTGAGACCATCACTCCACTTCTTCCATCGCCCCCAAAGAGCTCCGTCTGTCCCTGGGGAATCCTAAGCTTGTTGCTTTGGCAGAGCCTCGGGTGAACTCGTGCGACACGGTATACAAGTGATCATAAATACACATAAAGGGATTAAACAGTCAACTGCCCCAAGGGCATCAGGCAGGTGTGATCCACACCTGAAGATGTCAGCCACAGCAGTGAGACCGAAGCGCCACCTGCGATGCCCATAAAAATCAGGTGGTGCTTCAATGCCAGACTGCACAGATTCTCCGTCATCCGGGTCAGGGTTGTCCCTGCTTTTTCGGGAGGTAACTGGACTTCCTTGTTTTTCTTTGAAGACGTTTCGCTTCTCATCCCAGAAGCTTCTTCAGCTCTGCCTGGATGGTGGAGGAACGGAAGGATTTATACTCCTTGCAGACAGCTGGTCATTTGCATCCTTTTAGAGAGTCGTTGAGGCCACTTGGAGGTTTGTCTGTGTCCTCAGAGTCACCTGAGTAGTGCAAATGGGTGTGGGGGATTCTTGGAACTGCTCAAAGGACTGTGTTCCACACCCATTTGCACCACTCAGGTGACCCTGAGGACAGATAAACCTCCAAGTGGCCTCAACGACCCTCTAAAAGAAGGCAAATGACCAGCTGTCTGCAGGGAGTATAAATCCTTCCATTCCCCACCATCCAGTCAGAGCTGAAGAAGCTTCTGGGATGAGAAGCAAAACGTCTTCAAAGAAAAACAAGAAAGTCCAGTTGCCTCCTGAAAAAAAGCACCTTTGGGACTTGAATGCCAGTCTTGTGGCCAATTTGAGTTTTGTTTTGTTTTTTAAACCAAACCCTGCAGCCACTCCTGGTCAATGGAAACCACACATTGTGTAAGGTGCAATCACAAGGTAGAAGGAACCACCACAGGGTGGTGGCTTGGCATGACACGTGCTACTCGGGACTTCGGGACGCCGACCGCCGTACATCTGTTTGCGTTTTCAACCCAAACATCCACTGAAGAAAGCATCGTTTCTCATTGTTTCGACCTCGCCATCCGATACAAGTTAGCTGCAAAGTTAGAACGGATCTCACAGAGCAAAAACAAAAGACACGATCTGAATATCAGGGACTCATGTCCGAGGAAATCCGTGCTGGTCGCTTCCGTGCAAATCTATCGGTAAGAAAAGCAACTAGTGAACAGCCTTTGTTTTCACCGACATTTATATATATATATATCTATATATCTCTCTATATATCTATATATATATTAATGGTCGCGGACCAGTGTACAGTCTGAATGCAGCAGCCAACTCTATTGCATGCATTTTATCGCGAGGGGAAGCCCGCCGTCTGACTTCACAGTTGTAGCTTCCTCTGCCCCATCCACAAGCCTGAAGTGATCATTTCCGCGCCCGTCTCTTGGGCGAAAAAGAATAACCTGGATCTACGAAAGGGTTAGGAGGCACTTCAGCCTTGGCGTCCTCAGCGTAGGGGGTGGATTCTGTCCCGAAATAAAAACCCAGTCTATGCTGCCAAACTTCTCAAAACGTGGACTAGTATGTAAACAAACGCAATTTCGGACTGAAGGCCACTTCAAATATGGCGTTGGGGTTCCCACGCGGACGGCCCTTCTCTGAAAGCTAAACCACGCAAGCCACAGAGAGGTGTGATGCGACGGTGGCCTGCCTTCCGCAGAGAGAGATGTGATGCGACGGTGGCCTGCCTTCATCAGTGTACATACACTTGTGCTAGGAAGAGACAAGGACAGAGGCTGCACACTTGGATGTGCGGTGACCTTACGGATGCACAGGATTGCCACACGCTGTTGTCGCCTAGCGGGTACCATCCGTTATCTCCACGGCAGGGCACCTGGCTGGCATCTCCCGAGATGAAGGACGACGACGGTAAACAAGATGGAAGGTTAAATCCCGAACGTTCTTTTGTAAAAAAACAAGAAGCTGGGTATTAGTAGTATAATAATACAACCGTAACTAATACTTGGTGTGTAAATTCACTGTTAAAAAAAAGAGAGAGAGAAAAGTGCTCAGGAGCTATGAGAATCCTCGGCTCACTTCTTTGCCAAAATGGGGAAGAGGGGAGGAATGCACCCATCCTTTCTGGATGTGTGAATCGAAGTCACGTCCGTCCTATTTACAATCAGGAAGCGGGGCCTTCCCCCTTTGTCTCGAGGACCGCATCTCACAAGGAGCGAAAAAAATAAAATGAACATTAAAAAAAAAAGAAAAAAAGAAAGTCATGCTTCTTTTTTTTTTTCCAATATTACACGGTGGCGGCAAAAGTGAGAACATGCTTTTGTCTAACATTACTTCCGATAAGGGCAATTTTCCTGAAAGTGAGGGATTTCCGACGGAAAGGAAGGCCCTTATCCCGTCTTGTGTCTTTGAACGCGGCCGCTGTCTGTTTTGCGGGACGCCTCGGGAATGCTGGGGGGGGGGCGGGTCCGTCACGGCATGTCAGTCACGGGACGCTTCTGTTTCAAAGTGTCAATCAGGGACAGGACCCCGCGTTTTACGTTGGTGGTGACCCGTCTCGTCATGGAGTCTGCTGGAGGAGGAGGCGGGCGGACTTTCTGAGAAAGAGGCCGGGCGACCAGACACTTCTGATACCGCAGCTGCAACACAACAACAGTGTATCGCCATCATAGCACTTAGACTTATATACTGCTCCACCATGTTTTACAGCCCTCTCTAAGCGATTTACAGAGTCAGCCTGTTGTGCCTAACAATCAGGGTCATTTTATTGACCTGGGAAGGACGGAAGGCTGTCAACCTTGAGTTCAGGATCGAACTGCTGGCAGTGGGCAGAGTTAGCCTGCAATAGCAATAGCATGTACACTTATATCCTGCTTCAGTGCTCTACAGCCCTCTCTAAGCAGTTTACAGAGTCAGTCTATTGTGCCCAACAATCAGGGTCCTCATTTTATTGACCTGGGAAGGACGGGAGGCTGTCAACCTTGAGTTCAGGATCGAACTGCTGGCAGTGGGCAGAGTTAGCCTGCAATCGCAATAGCATGTACACTTATATCCTGCTTCACAGTGCTCTACAGCCCTCTCTAAGCGGTTTACAGAGTCAGCCTATTGTGCCCAACAATCAGGGTCCTCATTTTATTGACCTGGGAAGGATGGAAGGCTGTCAACCTTGAAGTCAGGATCGAACTGCTGGCAGTGGCCAGTGTCAGCCTGAAATGCTGCCTTCTAACCACTGCGCCACCACGGCTCGTACGGTAGCTTTGCACCCTATCTTAAGACTCCCTTAAAAGGGGGCTGTTTAACCCAGAGACTCAAGCCACCCTTGAAGACTTTTTTTTGGCAATTTTGGTACCGGAGGCTCCAGGGCAAACACTGAAGGAGGAGACGTGAAGCAGTTCAAATCTGTTCATGAACACATGCAAATGTTCTCTTTCATTTGATGGGTTGTATTAAAATTACAAACAACCAATCTCCGTTTTCATAGGTCATTACTGTTATGCATCTTTATTAATAGGATCCAGTTAATACTTATTTAAATACCCCAGTAGAGGGATGGTAGACAAGGTCACTCTACATCATAGAAGCCTTTATTTTAAACAACGACCTCTTGCAATGACCTGTGCTATTTTCCCCCCAGCAGCAATTTTACAAATCCCTGGTTCCCTGTGGCTAGTATGCATTCTTACAATTTCACCTTATCTTGCGAGCAACTTGTTAGTTCAGGCACAGTTGTGAATTCCAGGCACCTGCTGGCTTCCGCAGAGTCCACGCTCCAGACTTTCTAACTGCTTACACAAACAGAACTTTGTATAATTTGGGGCTGGCTGAGGAATTCTGGGAGTTGAAGTCCACAAGTCTTCAACTGGCCACGTTTGAAGACCCCTGACTCATAGAATCGTCCTACTTACCATACAAGCAGCTTGGACGGCCTCGGAGACGTTGCCAGCGTTGGGTTCACACCAGAAGACGTGACACTCGAAATGCTGGTTCCCCGTGTCCATAATGAAGGCAAACGTATGTACGTCTTTCCCCACACCCATGAAGGACAAAAAGCGGACGCGACATTCCACCACGATCTCCTCTTCGTTCTAGGCGTGGAGGAAAAGTGGTTGCTGTGACACTTGAGTGTAAGAGGGAAACCGTAAATCTGTATTAGGGGGTCGGTGAACTGAGGTGCCAATCAGGGGTGTCCCATCAGGAACATCCACAGGGCACAACGGTGAAGATGGTGGCTATGGTAAAACCTGATAAAGTCTCCATTACTCCTGATGGGAGCTGAAGTCCACCCGTCTTAAGATGGCCGAGGGTGAGAAATACTGCCTCTGAGTGCAAAGCACACTCAATTTTTCATTATTTCTGTACACAGCTGGCAGAACACACTCCCTCTACGCCAGTATTCCATGGCTTAATCTTCTAGTTAAAGTTCTCCCCCTAAATCTGGAATAATTACAATTTTCTCCCCCTAAATCTGGAATAATTGAAAGCCTCACTGTTTTTTTTTATAATGCTAATTAAGTTGAGAGTTTAGATATTTTTGTACGTGAAGATAGTAGCACATGGCCAACGGGGGTGTGTGTGTCTGTGTGTCTTGAAAATGCGGCGCAAATGATCAATTGCCATCACCAAATCTGTTCTGACGCTACGTACAGACTTTTCTGCATTTCGCCCCCACAACCTTAACTGCATACAGAAAAGGCTTGGAGAAAAATTAAGTTTTGGGTCAAGTTACAGATCCTAGTATTAAAATAAGACAAGTTTAAGGGACCGTACTCCTTCGCTGATGACGGTCACAGTAGCATCCGCGACGTTCATGGTGACAGCCATCCAGTCTTCCCTGTTAGAGGACTCCGTCAGGCTTTCTATAGCTCCGTTCAGCGTGTCCATACCTTCCAAAGAACAGAGACAACAGACGCACACCCTTAGAACTTTTGAGGGACATACAACATGTTGGTTTTCCTTTGCTTAAACTTGTTTCTCTGGTCTAGATCAACCTTAACCTTAAACTTCCTTCTTTTCTTTCCTCTCTCCATCCAATCTGTTTCTCTCTACCACTCTATCTTCTAGATTTTCAGTCCTGTAGTTACTGTGGGAACCTTGTCTGGGTGAAAAAAAATCTGCTCCTTTGCTTTAAAAAAGGCAACACAAAATAATCTAGGGGTTCCAGCTGGGCTTGAAACTCTTGTGGGCTTCTTAGTATTTGCACTAAGTGCAAACTAAGTTGCACTCCCACAATATGTTAAGTGTACCTGTGGTTAGATTTTAAGTGGTTTAATGTGTTGCGTGAACCTAGCGAATCTGTTTGGCAGGTTCAAAGTATCACATGGATTCCAGGAAATTCAGTACTGATAGAATCTGTGTAGCTCAGGGTTGAACTGTGGGGTCTTTGATGCTCTCTGGCTGATGTTTCATGACCCAACTAATAATAATAATAATAATAGTAAAGTTGGAAGGGACCTTGGAGGTGATCTAGTCCAACCCTCTGCTCAGGCAGGAAACCCCTACACCATTTCGGACAAATGGCTGTCCAGTCTCTTCTTAAAAACCTCCAGTGTTGGAGCATTCACCGCTTCTGGAGGCAGGTTGTTCCACTGGTTAATTGTTCTAACTGTCAGGAAGTTTCTCCTTAGTTCTAGGTTGCTTCTCTCCTTGCTTAGTTTCCACCTGTTGCTTCTTGTCCTGCCTTCAGGTGCCTTGGAAGCATCATCAGTAACTTTTGTCACATATTAGATGATGAGTGATGGAATCAGCACTGATGATGTTACCTAGCTGAAATGTTGGTAAGGAAATAACCAAGCTCAGAGATCATCGTGGACCGCACAGTTGTGCTGTGCTATGGGGACTAGTGTCTGGTCTTAGGTTTTATCTTCCCCAGCGTAATTCACCACAAAGAACACATTTAGTCATGAGAAAAAAATATGCTTACATACCCACTGGCTTAATGACAGACAGCATGCCCAGGTACTGCACATGAAATTTCTGGACCAACTCAGTCTTTGGTGTTGGAAAATCTACTGCAAGGAAGCAAAACATCAATTTCATCTTATACAATTCACATCAGGCCACCCCACCCCCCAAACTCCGCTTTATTTTAACGCCAGGACCCGGAGTGAGATATCAGGGAGCTGATCATATTGTTGATTCCGACAAATCTCTGCTCCAAGTCCTGTTAAAAAAGGATCCTAATTGGTATCTGGGGAATGACGGGAAATGGGTGCTTGTAAGACGCTAAGACAAAGACGCAGGCATGTCTTGAGCAGAGGTTTGAAGCTGCAGGACACGGCTTGACAAACTCTGAGTTTATTGCTTCTTATATACTTGTTACATACACCAGCTTAACCATTAGATGCCGACAAAGGTTTCTTCATTGGAAAATGTCTTCATGTAAGCAACTATTTTCTAGTAACACATTACATGGTCAAAGACCAGGTAAGGACAAATACAGGGAGATGAAAGCAGAAGGAACTAACAAAGGCAGGAAAAGACAGGAGAAGGAACTTAAGCATATCATCTGTTTAGATAGGTGAGGCATTAAGTCAAAAGGGTATGACCTTCTGGCTGCTTCATTGGGACAAAGGGTATCAAGAGGTTATGAGGTTTGTGGAGGGGGGGGAAGCACGGCAGTGCATTTCCCCCCACAGGTGCTATAAATCTTCATTTTGCATAATAAATCCTCTCTTCTTGCAGCAGCTATGAGGCAGAGTCTGAGGAAGGAGTTTACCTAAGCATATCAAAACATCCACACATTTCTGACTAGCACAAGGGTTGCAAAGGGTGCGTGGTTTAGTCAGAATACAGCTGTGACTTTCAGGTGCAAAAAAACCCCCACACACACCTGAAGGTCCAATTAAACTGATTTGATTGTTCAAAGCCTACACACAGGAATCTTCTAAACGAATGGTCAGCATCTGGTTAGAGTTAGATACGGATCAACAGAATTTAAGGGAGGTTGCCGTTAGTTTGCTTGTGGCTACGTAGAGATTCTAGGCTGATTCCTCTTTTCACTCCTCCCCCCCCAGCTTCTGCCATTCTTTCTCCTACAGTTAAAAAAATCCAGAATTTTTCCTATTAGGTATAACAACGCAGAAGTATGACAAAGGCGTACACATTCTAACGGCTTCCAGATTGGTTTATGCTCAAAATTGGAGGAATACAGGAATTCCAACGGAAGAAGAAATCCTCTATAAAATTTTATCATGTGCAGAGATGGACAGGCTTACCATGGCTATGAAAGATAAGACAGAACTGGAATATTTCGAAATCTGGGGCAAATTTTATCGCTGGTATGAATCAAGGAGAACCGCTCGGATCTTAAGCTAACGATAGGATTGAAACATACATATAATTGTACATATAATTGTATATATAATTGTATTGTGTAGAAGAATGAGGCTTATATAGAGGTTAAGGATGATGTATTAAGTTTTTGTATCACGAGAAACAAATTGTTAGGAATATTTACTCTGGAATGCCCCGTATGTCCATTTTTGTTTTAATTGTATTATAAATAAAAAACGTTTTATAAATTAAAAATTTTTTTAAAAAAGGGTTGCAAAGGGTGCCTGGTTTAGTCAGAATACAGCTGTGACTTTCAGGTGCAACCCCCCCCCACGCCTGAAGGTCCAATTAAACTGATTTGATTGCTGAAAGCCTACACACAGGAATCTTCTAAACGAATGGTCAGCATCTGGTTAGAGTTAGATACGGATCAACAGAATTTGCCGTTAGTTCGCTTGTGGCTACGTAGGGATTCTAGGCTGATTCCTTTTTTCACTCCTCCCCCCCACAGCTTCTGTCATTCTTTCTCCTACAGTTAAAAAAATCCTTTTTATGACCCTATGATCCCTTCATTTGGGGTGGAGTTTGGGTGAATGGATGGAGCTGAGCGTTTACTGGCCAGGTGCCCTTCCTGAGGCCACGCGGAGTTCGCAACAGATTATTTTTTCTTTGAACCCTGGGAGACAAACAGCAGCCACTACCTAAGATTCCCTTCGACCAGTCCGCTCCCACAGAGAGGGCCTCCTTAGGGTGCCGTCGGCCAGTCAATGCCGGCTGGCGACCCCCAGGGGGAGAGCCTTCTCTGTGGCAGCTCCTGCCCTCTGGAATGACCTACCCACCGACCGACGTACAACTGCGGACCTGCGCCTTTTTCGCCGAGCCCTGAAAACTCATCTATTTCGTGCGGCCGGCCTGGCGTAGTCTTAATTAGGTTTTAGTATAGGTTTTTTTATATGGGGTATTTTAGAGCAGGCCTTTATTTATTTAATTTGATTTTAGAATAGATATTTATTGTGATTTTTATTATCGCCTGTTCACCGCCCTGAGTCCCGTAAGGGAGATAGGGCGGTATACAAATCTAAATAAACATAAACATAAGATTGAACTCTCAACCTTCCGAGGGGCCGGCGAGGGTCTTCACCACACCACACATTCCTTCTCCTACGGTGACTTTGAAAATAAACCTATAAACTGTCCCAGGTTCTACCTTGCAAAGGAACGTCAAGGGTGACGGCCGTCCGTTCCTGTAACGAGTTGCAAGCCACAGCTTTGGCATTCTTCCGTTCAGCCATAATCTGCAGAAAAAAGGAGAACGAGTACGATTTATTGTCCTCTCCGGGCGAGAATTTTATTTGTTCACACCACCCCTGTTTTTAAGGATCGGCATTTAGACTCCGGAAAATGGAATTCAGTTGAAGGATTCTTCGTAGACGAGAAGTCCAGATGATGTAGGAACCCGGGCAGAATTGTTGTGTGGAGGAAATCTCGCTTGGGTTTCGTGCAGGCCAAGCAATTAATGGTTCAGGATATTAATCTGTTTGTAGGAACCAGCTTCATTAAGCCAGGGCTTTTCAACCAGTGGGACGGGTACCCCTGTGCTACATTGGCACCTGGCAGGTGGTACGCGACCATCCCAGAAAAGTGGTAGTGGGGGAGAGGAATGAGCTGAACCGGTGGCAGCACCGCACAAGCCTGAGTGAGAAACGGCTGGAGCTGCAGGGCTGTCAGGGCTCAGCGGAAGCGCCAGAATCAGCGCCAGGCTCCAGCTGGAACTCTGTGCTGATCCTGGTGCTTCTGCTGAGCCCTGAAGAAGCACCAATCAGCTGGAAAGCAGCACTGATCCTGGTGCCTCTGCAGAAGAAGCGCCGATCAGCTGGAATGTTGCAGCCTCTCCAGGATCTTGGGATTTACATTCAGATGCTTGGCAACTGATTCATATTTATGACGGTCACAGTGTCCCAGGGTCATGTGAAGTGACCAAAACCTGCTGCAACCACCCAGCAGACGGGGGGGGGGGATAAAAACCAAACACCCCCCCACCCCATCCCTGCTGCCAATCCTCAACAGAAATGCTCACAACAATGAAAACCTCAGACAGGAGGAAGAGTGCAGAATATAGAATAGAATAGAATAGAATAGAATAGAATAGAATAGAATAGAATAGAATAGAATAGAATAGAATAGAACAGGAGTAGAGTAGAGTAGAGTGATAGGATAGGATAGAACAGAGCAGCAGAACAGAACAGAACAGAATAGGAGTAGAGTAGAGTAGAGTAGAGCAGAGCAGAGTAGAGCAGAATATAGAATAGAATAGAATAGAATAGAATAGAACAGGAGTAGAGTAGAGTGATAGGATAGGATAGAACAGAACAGCAGAACAGAACAGAATAGGAGTAGAGCAGAGCAGAGTAGAATAGAATAGAACAGAATAATAACTTTATTGTCACTTTGAATGTACACTAATCGGCCTACATTAAAATGGAAATTTCGTTGCCTACAGCTCTCAAAGGGTCACCCCCCTCCCATATAAACTACGTAAATATGACAAAACAAACAAATAAAAGGAGAGCAGGCTCGCCTTAGAACAGATTTCGTGGAGGCTCGTGGCGATGGCTTTTGCTGGGGTGTCACATCGAAACACGTGGCATTTCAGAATCCGTGTCTCTCTGTCTCGGGCTACGTAGGCGAAATCCCTGGAGAAGGAAAAGAAACACAGGCTGAAGCAGGCAGCACTCGGAGAGGACGAGACCAATGCAAGGAAAGGAGAAAGGATGGAAGAGAAGAAATGTGGTTCCACGGCTGAAGGCCAAGATCTGCAGAACTTCTCCTGACCCTCTTTTTCTCCACGAGGGAATTTTACGTAGCCCTTTGCAGACGCTCATTGCTAACCCAGATCCATTTATTTAGTGTAGGGCATGAAATATCCAGATAGCCAGCAGCAAAGAGGTATGAAAAGAGCACATATTGATATGATACAAGTAAGATGAAGGTGTCTAATTCATTAGATAAGATGTATGTATGTATAAAGTTATATTAAGTTACAAGTTACATTTTAAAACACATTAGTTCACAAAATAAGTTAGTGTTCTATATATTAATATCTAGGCCGTTTATGTATGTATGTATAAAGTTATATTAAGTTACAAGTTACATTTTAAAATACATTAGTTCACAAAATAAATTAGTGTTCTATATATGAATAGCTAGGCTATTTATGTATGTATGTACTGTATGTATGTATAAAGTTATATTAAGTTACAAGTTACATTTTAAAACACATTAGTTCACAAAATAAATTAGTGTTCTATATATTAATAGCTAGGCCGTTTATGTATGTATGTATGTATGTACTGTATGTATGTATGTATAAAGTTATATTAAGTTACAAGTTACATTTTAAAATACATTAGTTCACAAAATAAATTAGTATTCTATATATTAATATCTAGGCCGTTTATGTATGTATGTATGCATGCATGCATGCATGTATGTATGTATGTATGTATGTATGTATAAAGTTATATTAAGTTACAAGTTACATTTTAAAACACATTAGTTCACAAAATAAATTAGTGTCCTATATATTAATAGCTAGGCCGTTTATGTATGTATGTATGCATGTATGTATGTATGTATGCATGTATGTATGTATAAAGTTATATTAAGTTACAAGTTACATTTTAAAACACATTAGTTCACAAAATAAATTAGTGTCCTATATATTAATAGCTAGGCCGTGTATGTATGTATGTATGTATGTATGTACTGTATGTATGTATGTATAAAGTTATATTAAGTTACAAGTTACATTTTAAAACACATTAGTTCACAAAATGAATTAGTGTTCTATATATTAATAGCTAGGCCGTTTATGTATGTATGTATGTACTGTATGTATGTATGTATGTATGTATGTATGTATGTATGTATGTATGTATAAAGTTATATTAAGTTACAAGTTACATTTTAAAACACATTAGTTCACAAAATAAATTAGTGTTCTATATATTAATAGCTAGGCCGTGTATGTATGTATGTATGTATGTATGTATGTATGTATGTATGTATAAAGTTATATTAAGTTACAAGTTACATTTTAAAACACATTAGTTCACAAAATAAATTAGTGTTCTATATATGAATAGCTAGGCCGTTTATGTATGTATGTATGCATGTATGTATGTATGTATGCATGTATGTATGTATAAAGTTATATTAAGTTACAAGTTACATTTTAAAACACATTAGTTCACAAAATAAATTAGTGTTCTATATATTAATAGCTAGGCCGTGTATGTATGTATGTATGTATGTACTGTATGTATGTATGTATGTATAAAGTTATATTAAGTTACAAGTTACATTTTAAAACACATTAGTTCACAAAATAA